ACAGAAAACCACATATTGTATGATTCTATTTATATGAAACATCCAAAGGAGGCAAATCCATAGAGAAAGGAAGTAGATTAATGATTTCCAGGGGCTGAGGGTGGGGAGGAATGGCAAGTGACTGCTAGTGTGTACAGCTTCTCTGCAGGGTCATGAAACTGTTCTGAAATTAGATAGTGGCACTGGTTGCACAAAACAGTGAATATACTAAAAATCACTAAATTATACACTTCAAAATGGTGAATGTTACCTTGGCTTTTTTAAAAAACAAAGCGAGACTTTACAAACCAAAATAAACACATTTTCAGGCCAAACTGGGTCTATGAGCTACCAGTCTGCTAACTCTATTCTCTACAAGAGATTCTCAGATCATACACCCTTATCTGCTTACATTTGCCAGAAGCATATGTGACTGCAAAAATTAACAAAAGGACAGTGTTTTGCAAATTAATAGGAAAAAAAACTAAAGATTAGTTGAATTTCCCTCAACTTTGTCTTCCCCCAAAAGTTACTTTTTTAACTTTTTGGTCTTTTCTAAACTAGAATACAGTAACTCAATATAGAGTAGAAATATATAATATCATAGTGTTGTACAGCACAACTTCTTCCAGGTAGTGTGGTATCTGAATTGACACACTGAATCTTAAACAGTCATAAAAGTGTTGAAATAACACTTAACACTTACTTGGAAGTATACCATAGACTGAGAAGAACAATTCATAAGGTATTTGACAACTTCAAGTCTGGTACTATAACTGGCCCTAATATAAGTGGTATGAAAATATTATAAATAAAGGGACCAAAAAGGTGAGAATTCCAATAGCCCTTGATGTATAATGAAACTTTTCACAGGGGGGTGGGGAGAGAATAACATCTGAGGAGAGACTAGCATAAGCACCCAGAAGAGAATGCCCAAGACATATGGAGAAAATACAAGCATCTAGATAATCCGGAACCATTACTCATGTAAGAAATAGGAGGAGCCAACACTAAACAGAGAGATAGAGGTCAGATTATGAGATTCTGCAGTTCAGTCTAGGAAATTAAGACTTTTTCAGAAGACAATTATAATTATCATTGAAACAAAGCCAACTTATTTAGTTGATGAATTCTACAGGCCCCTTGCTGCTACTTTTGAATTTCTTGCCCACTTTTACAGGTAATACATTCCCCCTTTGCACCTATACAAAAATAAGAAAAAGTTACCTTCCTGGAGTTAGATACAAGGCATGGCAATTAAACTAAGATTCTATTTTAGCTATAAGAATAAGAATGGTTGTTTATTTTCTCTCTCCAAAATTTCTATTTCTTGCTTTCTGATTTCTAAATATTCACTCGCTTAGTTTTTAGCTGTTGTCACATTTTGCTTCACCAACTCTAACTACATTAGACATTCCTTAGGACTATTTCTAGCTTTCAACCTACTCTGTCCTACCTACCTCACATCACATCCTCAAGTCAGCCTATGGACAATGTTTGTTTACATATGAGAGCAATAAAAATTATAAACCACAATCACATTTTCTTTGGTCTTGCCATAAACAGATTACAGTAACTCCACTTGAGAAAACAGGGTGGGAGACAGGGCTTTGGGGACTAAAATGGTACATAAGTGCAGTATCAAAAGTGCACAGTGCAGACTGCCTAGATTTGAATATTGAGTTTGCCACTAACATGCTGTGTGACTTTGGAAAAGTTACTTAAATTATCTTGTCTCATTTCCATCATCTGAAAAAAATGGGAATAATAACATACTACTACTTAACAGAGTTGTTGTGAAGATGATATGATTTAATATATGTAAAGCACTTAGGACAGTATTGACACTGCTAAGTGTTACATATGTTATTATCTTATCCATTATAGTGTAAGTTTTACAAATGCAAGGATTTTAGTCTGCTTTGTTTACTGAAATCCACGTTTAGCACACAGAAGGTTATCAATAAACATTTGCTGAGTGAATGAATAAATATGAAGCATTTTATAGTTAGATCAAGAAAGGCAGAAAAGCCCTATTTAAAAGACAGAAACACAGAAAATAAAATGTCCTGCTCCTCCTCTTCTACTTTTTCAACGGACGTCATCACCCACAGACTGTTTTCTCTTATTTGTGAGGAAAGGTATAAAATCAGTATTCATTGAGAAATGTTTTCAGAGACAATTGTATAAAAGCCTTTGTTGTGTTCGTTTCAAAAGTTAGAAGACTGACTCAATAAACCTTGCTACTTAAAGTGTGATCCTCTAACCGGTAGCAGCAGCATCATAAGTCCTTGTTAAAATGATCAGTCAGCAAACACCCAAGACCCACTCCATCTGATTCTGTATTTTATAAAGATCCAAATATAAATACTACAATTTGAGAAGTATGACTCTAGATAACCCTAGTTAAAGAGCATAGTTAAGGATCAAAGTTCAAATCTAGGCTCTGACACTTTATTATGTATAAGATCTGGGGCAAGTTTATAAATGTCCCTATTTCCTCGTCTGTAAAATTAAAATAATAGTAGTAGTTACCTCAAAGAGTTGTTATGAGAATTAAATGAAAATCCATATGCAGCATTTGGTAGACTGCAAAGAAAACAGGATGTGCCCAATAAATGTTACTGTTGTTATTGTTGAGATCTCCCATCCTCTACCACAAGGCCCCACAGAGAAATATTAGAATTAAATATTAGGAAGAACTTTATTGAAAAAAAATAGTTTGCTGTATTTTTCTTTGTACTTTATACAATGAGTCTCCCTTCAAGATCAGTGTCAAATTTAAGGTCTCCTAATAGAAGTAATTGCCTCTTACTTTTCTTTTATTTCTTTCTTTTTCTTTTTTTGAGTCAGAGTCTCATTCTGTCAGTTAGGCTGGAGTGCAATGACACAATCACAGCTCACCACAGCCTTGACCTTCTTGACTCAGGCAATCCTCTGCTCAGCCTCCTGAGAAGCTGAGACTACAGGCACTTACTACCACACCCAGTCAATTTTTTGTAGAGACAAGATCTCGCTGTGTTGCTTAGGCTGGTCTTGAACTCCTAAGCTCAAGCAATCTTCCCATCTCAGTCTCTCAAAGTGCTGGGATTACAGGTGTGAGCCACCGCACCTGGTCTGCCTCTTAAATTTCTGTACTGATTTTGCTTCCAATTGTATATGAGAATGTGTACATGAAAGAATGAACAAATGAACAAATAATGTTAAGTGTAAAATTAGAACTAATCCTTGGTAAATACAACTAAAAAAGTCTGGAAATTCAATAGGGGGTTCAGACTACTTTCAAATTATTATGCTTTACTGAGTAATCTCAAATTTAATTTTAACATGTAGGAAAAAATTTTTCAAATTCGAAATTGGTCTTGCAAGTAAAACTATCAGAGATATCTGAAATCATATAAAAAATGATCAAAGGAGGGCAATAATCAGGATTTTGGCTAAAAGGAATGTTTACTATATAGGAACATAATTATATACTATATGGAAAGGCATAATTCCGTCTTTTCAAGCAAGATTGCATATATGAGATGCTTATGTAAATGGATTCCACAATGCATCAAATAAAGTAAGAACACAGTGCCTTTTCAGTTCCAATCGAAACAGTAGAGGCAAACTAAGAGCAAAGGAAGAAAATATGATAAGGAAAGTAAATTCCTTCGTCATTAAAAGGTTATCAATAACAAATTATTAACTAAAAAGATGTTAGTCAAAATTTCAGTTGGTTTCTTTCCTTCTAGAGAGATCAGGACTTGGTTGGATCTTCCTAGAAAGGTCAGAATTTGATCTACCTAGTTAAATTAGAAAACTTAATAAAAATTCAAGTTTAACAGTCACAATTATCATAAACTTAGGAGTTTTCAACATATGACAAAAAACAAACCACCCAATTAAACAGCGGACAAAGGACTTGAATAAACATTTTCCCAAAGAAGATATAAAAATGGCCAATAAACACTTGAAAAGATGTTCAACATCACTTGTCATTAGGAATTAATGACTACAATGAAATACTACTTCACACACATTAGGATGGCTATTATTAAGAAGAAAAAAAAACAGAAAATAAACAAGTATTGGTAAGGATGGGAAGAAATTGGAGTCCTTGGGCAATTCTGGTAGGATTGTAAAATGATGCAGCTGCTGTGGAAAACAGTATGGTGGTTCCTCAAAATACATATACCATATGATCCAATAATCTCACACTGGATATATACCCCAAAAAGGGAAAGCATGAACTTAAAGAGATATTTGTATACCCATGCTCATAGCAGCATGGTTCACAAATGTGCAAAAGGCAGGAGCAATTCAAGTGTCCACTGACTGATGAACTGATAAACAAAATGTGATATATACATACAAGGAAATATTATTCAGTAATTTAGTATTATTAAAACGGAAGAAAATTCTGACACATGCTACAATATGGATGAACTTTGAAGACAATATGCTAAGTGAAATAAGCCTGGCCCCAGAGAACAAGCATTATATGATTCCTCTGACATGAGGTTCCTAGGATACTCAAATTCAGAGACAAAAGTAGAATGGCAGATGCCAGGGTTTGAAGAGAAGGGAAAAAGGGAAGTTAGTGTTTAATAGGTACAGAGTTTCAGTTGGGGGAGATGAAAAAAGTTCTGGAGATGGAAAGTGGTGATGGGAGCAGCTAGACAGTGTGAATATAATTAATACCACAGAACTGTATACTTAAAAATAGTTAAAAAGGTCAATTTTATGTTTTATGTTATGTATATTTTGCCACAATAAAAAAATTTATGATTTGATTATTGGAACATTTTTAATTACAGTTTTAAAAACACCTTATGTAAAAGAGCAACATATTTGATAGGTTTCTTTTTTTTTTGGCCTCTTTTTTCATTTAATTAAAGAAAATTAACCTCCTTTCATGGGAAGGCTCCCAAGTTTTCAAATTGAAATAGAAATTCAGAATTATATAGTTGGGAAGAGGAGTGGAAGAAGATGGAAGAGATTACAAAACAAAGCAAAACAAAACACACAAAAAAAACCTTGTTTAGGTGTTTCTTCCTCTTTTTTAGTCTCCTCATCCTCTAAGCTGGGACTTTCCCGGGAAGAGTTGTCTTGTTGGCTAGAATTTTTCAATAGTACAGGATCAATTTGTGCTTTCAGGAGTGCAAGAGTCTCAGCCAACTCGTTTCGATTTCTAAACAAGGGAAAAAATAAGACAGCATAAAAATCTTTTTCCTGTTCTAAAGAACTTTCTGAATAACACCTATTAGAAGTTAAAATTAAAAAAAAAGAAAAATACATTAAGAACATCCAAAACACTGGTACAGCTAGCCCTAATCAACCTTGAATTTTAAAAATAAGTACTAAGAAAAACACATATTAAAATATGCTATTCTCCAAAGAGGAATATTAGATTATTCTTTCTACTGAATGGAATGGCCATGAAGACTTCTTTGGTTGAAAGGAAAAGAAGAAACAAAATTAAACAAAAATCAAAGTTACGATAACTTTAAAAAGTTGTAGCTAATCTCTAAGGAGATAAAATCAGTATAAAACCTGATGGAAGAAGTGTTTTTTCTTTAGCTCGTGATTCATTTGTAAAGAAGAACTCTCTTTTCTACCTTCAGAGAGAAGAGCATTTGATATTGTTATAAAATTATGATCCAGAACTTTGTGAAAAATTATGGCAAAATGTCAGTTCTAATAATAGTTCAAAAACATAAAAATTCAGGTTACTGACTGTGTTTTGTCAAATTTAGTTTATAACTAAAAGAAGAGAATTCAACTGATTCAACAATACCAGAAAATTCCAAATAAATAAAATTCTTATCTATAAAAATCTATATTTTTAGTATCATAAGCAAAGATGTAGGATCATTAATTTTTTTATTTTTTTATTTTTTTATTTTTTAGCTGGAGTCTCACTCAGTCCCCCAGACTGGAGTGCAGTGGCCGCTCCTGGCCACCGCAGCCTCGACCTGCCGGGCTCCAGCGATCCTTCCGCCTCAGCCTTCCAAGTAGCTGGAACTACAGGCGTACGCTACCACGCCCAGTTAATTTTTTGATTTATTGTAGAGATGAGGTCTCACCAAGTTGCCCAGACAGGTCTCGAACCCGTGGGCTCAGGCAATTCATTCACCTCGGCCTCCCAAAGCACAGGATTACAGGCTGAGTCACCAAACCTGGCTGGGATCATTAATTTAAATGCTGCTTACAACTAGAAACCTCACTTTGATATTTTTCCTGTTCAGACAAGCAGTATGTAATGGGGAGGATAAAAAGCAAATCCTAGACTAAGAGCTGGAAAACTTAATTCTAGATTTGCCACTAGCTTAACTGATCAACACCGTGATCCTCCAAACAAAGTGTAAATAACTCTACGAATCGAATATACTGTTAAGATGAAATGACTTGCTTTCTTATTAGCCATGTTTCATATGTCCCCTACCTTCCTCTCCCTTTCCACCTCCATGCCAGTTAAACTCTATTGCTTGACAGTAGGGACTCTGCCTTATCAAGCAGGCTCTAAAAAATAAGTTTAATGGATAAATGGAATCCTTGCTCCTCAACGATTATAGATCTATGTGTCCCTGGACAAGTTTTGTCCTCACTAGAAAACTGAGGTTTTCTTTTCTTTTTTCCAGTCAGGGTCTCATTCTGTCACCCAGTCTGGAGTGCAGTGGTTTGATCTCAGCTCACCGCAGACTTGACTTCCTGGGCTCAGGCAATCTTTTTGTCTCAGCCTCCTGAGTAGCTGGGATTATAGGCATGCACCACCATGCTCAGCTAATTTTTGTATTTTTTGTAAAGACAAGGTCTCACTATGTTGCCTAGGTTGGTCTTGAACTCCTGGGATCAAGCAATTCTCCCACCTCAGCCTCCCAAAGTGCTGGGATTACAGGTATGAGCCACCATGCTCGGGCAGTTTTCTTATCTATAAAAGACTGGATTCTTCTCTTCAGTATTGTTAAATTGGCCTCCCAACAAAAGTAATACATTTTCACTGATAGGCATCTTTCAGAAATTAAAATGACAACCATTTATTGCACATGAGAATGAACAGACATGTTCATAAATATCATATGAGCATATATAATAAACAGTCTAGAATTTTAATAATATAATAGTAGAAGATCAGACTAGATATTCTCTCCAAGTCCTGTCAGGTACTGCCTCCATTTTACAGAAAGGAAAATTAAGACTCAGAGAATTTACATAAATTGTCTCCTAATTTCATATCTACAACCTACTTCCAACCTAAAGCTCTATTTGTAACGTTATTGCTACCTATATTTCGTTGAGAATTCCATATGCAATAAATGCCTTAATCTATTTGTGTTTTTTTTTTTAAGTCATGCTGGGAAGTGAAGAGTATATTGTAGTTATTCACCATATCTATTGGTAAAAGCTTCAAAACATGAGAGCTAATATTACTAGGAAAATCCATTTCAATTACTTCCACTACTCTATGCATAAAGAATTTAGCAGTAAAATTTATTAAAGAACAGCCCCCTAAAAGGCTTTTAATCTGATTAATGTATCTCAACACAAATCTCAAGTAGACATTATTATATGAAAACAGAAAACTACCTATCCTTGGGTTTCTTCTATTTTGATCAATTAGATTTAGTATGCTAGAGGAAAAAAATATTTAATCCTAAATTTGAACTAGTCACAGGGAACTTTCATAAGTATACCTTGTATTCAAATCATATCCAAGTTTCTTAACATTACTTACAGGACCTTTTGTAGCAGACTATGGACCCTAACAAAAATCCAGCTATTCTGCCTTTCCTCCCTCACTTTCTGTTCTACAAACCATACCTTCCTGAAGGCATACTAAATCAGATATGATCTTCCAAAATACCAAGCTCTCTTAGGTCAGGATGTCAGGTGACTGAGCTTCTGTTCTCTTAGCCTGGAATGTGCTCTCTATGGCTAACTCCAATTAGTCTTTCAAAGAGAAGCATAAAATGAATAAATAAAGTCTAGTATATCTACATAAGGGAATATTATTCAGTCATAAAAAAGAAATAAAGTTATGATTTACACTACATCTTGTAGACACTATGCTATCTCAAAGAAGTCATACACTAAAGGTAACTTGTATGATTCTATGTACATGAAACATTGAGAATACGCAAATTGTAGAAAAAGAATTGACTACTGGCTGTCAAGGACTGAGAAAAGGGAGAATGGGGAAAACGGCTTATGGGTACAAGGTTTCTTTTTGAGGTGAGAAAAATATCCTGGTACTAGTGGCACAACTTGTGAATATACTAAAAACCATTCAACTGTATATACTTTTTTTATTTTAAAGATGTGGGGTACAATTCAAGGTTAGAAATACAAATGTTCATTATGCATGTACCCTTGTTGATGAGGCATGCCCCCTGCCCTGCAGATTCCCACTACTGCCAATCCCGCCTCTGCACTCCCCTAGCAGATTCCCACTCAACTGTACATACTTTTAAAAAGATAATAGCATAGACAAGAATGCAGCTATGAAGATGGGAAGTGATCAAACTCTAGATATATTCTGCATGGGGAGCTGATGGAATCTACTGATAAGAGCAGATGTGGAATGAGAGAAAAGGAGTCATGGATATGCCCCAAGATTCTGGACCAAGACACTAAAGATATGGCTGCTAGTAACAGATGAGACAAGCTTGGGGTAGAAAGGTTGAAAGCTCGATTTTAGGCAGATTGGTTACTGATTTTAACTTAACTAGATTTTAAACTCTTATATTTTTCTATCTGTGCTCTAAGTTAATTTGATGAAATGGTATACAACATCCTAACCATTATAGTGTGAAATATAATTTCTCCCTGGCTAAAAGATGTTCACAGTTTGGGCTAGTGGTAGGTGCTAAACCTTTCAGAAGCAATTGAACTAAGAGTTGGATTCAACAAGAAATAACAAAAAGAAACAGATAAAACAAAGTCGAGCACAGGCATCATCTTATGCCAAGTATGGGCAAAGAGTCTGGTTCTTCCATAGCACCCTTAGGTGATCTTCATCACAGGTTGCCTGACAATCCATGATCTACTGTACTGAAACCTTTTACTACAAGGAGAACTCCTTAAGAAATGGGATCACGTCTTTACATCTACAAAGCATAGCATAGTGTAAATATAACAAGACTTTTATAAATATTTGTAATATATAATTCCAGGATTCAGCAACAATACTGTAACGTTTTGGTATGAATTCCAAACTACTCAGTAGGGAAAAAGAAAATTTTGTGAAGGCCAAGAAAGGTATTAATTAGTAACACCAACGGCTGTCCAATTAACATAAGCCAACATTAACAAATGAGTACTATGTTCCAAGCATTACTTCAAGAGCTTTATATAAATTAGTTCATATAATTCCAGCATAACCCGACTACATAGGTACTAACTTATTCCCATTTTACAGAAGAGGAAACTGAGAATACACAGAGAGTTATCATAATTAGCCTATGGTAAGTTAATACAATTCATCAGGCCTGAATTCCAGATAGGCTAACTTCAGAGTCCATCTTAATTATTGTGCTATATGCCAGATTATACACATTAGATTTAGAAACGTCTTCACAGTTTGTAATTATGGGTACATGAAATTGTATACTCTATTTAGAATTCAGCTTTTTGAAAATGATTGCCAAACCATTATAAATGGTTAAAATATTTGTACTTAGGTATAATTTGCATACTGTAAAATAAACCTATCTTAGATAACAGTTCATCAATTTTGACAAATGCATATACCGTGGAATAGACACCACAATCAAGATAAGGAATATTAATATTGTCATTAAAAAGTCCCATCCGGGCCGGACTCAGTGGCTCAGTCTGTAATCCCAGCACTTTGGGAGGCCAAGGTGAGTGGATTGCCTGAGTCCGCGGGTTCGAGACCCGCCTGGGCAACTTGACAAGACCTCATCTCCACAATAAATAAAAAAAAAATTAGCCAGGCATGGTAGCACGTGCCTGTATTTCCAGCTACTCGGAAGGCTGAGGCGGAAGGATCGCCAGAGCCCAGCAGGTCGAGGCTACGGCGACAGAGTGAGACTCCCACTCAACAAACAAACAAACAAAACAAAACAAGCAAACAAAAAGTCCCATCCGTTCTTTCCTACTGAATCTCTCTCTCCCACCAAGGCTAGAAGAAATCAGAGTTTTGATTACTGTAGATTAATTTTGTTAATT